ATAAATTTTTTCCAAACACATTATAAAGCGAATGCTTAAAAGACAAAACTTCATTTACAAAAGCAACAAGAAGACAATACTTAAGCATAAACTTAAGTTATATTCAAAATCTATAGGAAAAAATATATAAAACAGGGGTATCCAATCTTTTCACTTCCCTGGGTCATATTGGAAGAACTGTCTTAAGCCACACAAAAATACACTAAAGATAATGAGCTAAGAAAAAAAAAAATCACAAAAAAGTCATGTTTTAGGAAATTTTACAAACTTGTGTTGGGCCACATTCAAAGTTGTCCTGGGCTACATGCAGCCCACTGGCCACAAGTTGGACAGGCTTGCTATAAAACATTCCTAAAAGACAAATGTAAAGACAGCCCTTGTTCTCGGTTAGTGTGTCTCAACACCATCAAAACGTTAGCAGTCCCTAAGTTAATATATGAAGCTAATCACTCCCAATAAAAATACCAACAAGTTGTTTTGGGTTTTTTTGGGGTTTTCTTGAGACAGAGTTTTGCTCTTTTTGCCCAGGCTGTAGTGCAATGGTACAATCTTGGCTCACTGCAACCTCTCCACCTGCCAGGTTCAAGAGAGTCTCCTGCCTCAGCCTCCTGAGGAGCTGGGATTACAGGCATGTAGCCATGACACCCGGCTCATTTCTGTATTTTTAGTAAAGACAGGGTTTCACCACATTGGCCAGGCTGGTCTCGAACTCCTGACTTCAGGTGATCCTCCCACCTCAGCCTCCCAAGGTTCTGGGATTACAGGCATGAGCCACCATGCCTAGCCTAAAAATACCAACAAGTTTTTAAATTTTTTAATGGAGTTTAAAAAGTTGATACTTATGGAAAAATAAATATACAATAGCTATGAAAACACTGAAAAAAAAAACCCAGGGTATAAAGAAGGAGTAACCATCAGATATTAAAACATAGCAAAAAGCCTTTATAATTAAAATAGTGTGGTATTAGTGTACAAATGAACAGACCAATGGAACTAAACAGAAAAGTCAAAATTACAAATGGAATTTATGATAATGTCAGTATCTCAAATCTTTTGGCTAAAGATAGCCTTTTATTTTATTTTCTTTTACTTTTTAGAGACAAGGTCTCACTATGTTGTCCAGGCTGGTCTCCAACTGCTGGGCTCAAGGAGTTGCCTGAGTTGGTCTTGAATTCCTGGGCTTACCCACCTTGGCCTTCCAAAGTGCTAGGATTACAGATGTGAGCCACTGCATCCAGCCAAATATAAATTTTTAAGTAAATGCTGTTTACCATTTTGTGGTTTTACCACAAAGAAAGTATAGTCATTTGGAAAAGAGTCAAATAATATCTATTCCTCACCCAATACGAGAGTAAATTCCAAACAGAGCAAAGGCCTGAATGTAATAAATGAAACATCATATGGGTGGATTCTCCTACAACCTGTTCTGTAACCCAAGTGTAGATTAGAAAAGGCTTTCTGATTATGACTTAAAAAAAGAAAAAAAAAAAAAAAGAGTGTTAAGCCAGGTGTGGTGGGTTACCCCTGTAATCCTAGCACTTTGGAAGGCGAAGATAGGAGGACGCTTGAGCCCAGAAATTCAAGACCAGACTGAGCAACATGGCAAAACCTCATCTGTACAAGAAATACAAAAATTAGCCAAGCATGGTGGCACGCATCTGTAGTCCCAGCTATTTGGAAGGCTAAGGTGGGAGGATCAACTGAACCCAGAAGGTAGAGGCTGCACTGAGCTGTGATCGCACTACTGCGCTCCAGCCTGGGTGACAGAGTATGATTCTGCCTAAAAAAAAAAAATGGTGAGGCCAAGCCTGATGGCTCATGTCTGCAATCTCAGCACTTGGGGAGGCTAATGCTGGTAGATTGTTTGAGCCTCGTAATTCAAGGCCAGCCTGAGCAACAGAGCAAACTCTCCATCTCCATAAAAAATATAAAAGTTAGCTGGGTGCAGTGGCACATGCCTATAGTACCAGTTACTTGGGAGGCTGAGGTGGGTGGATTGCTTGAGTCCCAGGGGGCAGAGGTTGAAGAGCCAAGATTGTGCCACTGCACTCCAACCTGGGCGACAGAGCAAGACCCAGTCATTTAAAAAAAAAAAAAAAAAGCCAGGCACAGTGGCTCACATGTGTAATCCCAGCACTTTGGGAGGCTGAGGCGGGCAGATCACAAGGTCAGGAGTTCCACACCAGCTTTACCAACATGGTGAAACCCTGTCTCTACTAAAGATACAAAAAAAAATTAGCCAGGCATGGTGGCACATGCCTGTAATCCCAGCTTGGGAGTCTGAGGCAGGAGAACTGTTTGAACCCGGGAGGCGGAGGTTGCAGTGAGCTGAGATCATGCCACTGCACTCCAGTCTTGGCAACAGAGTGAGATGCCATCTCAAAAAAATAAATAAAGGTTGATAAATTTATTACATGAAAAAATTATACAAACTGAATGGCATTAAATACCATAAAGTCAAATTGGTAGAAAATATTCACAATATTTTTCAAAGTATCAAAGGAAAGGTCCTAATATTCCTAACGTACAAAGAACTTCTAACAAAGGGAGGAGGAGAGGGTGAGAAAGACCAAACGTCCTCATGGTAATGATGGTTGTACAATTCTGCAAACATGCCAAAAGCCACTGAATTATATATTTGAAATGGGTGAAGTTTGTGATATATAAATTATGTTTCATTAGTCTTTTTGGTTTTTTTTTTGAGACGGAGTCTCGCTCTGTTGCCAAGCTAGAATGCAGTGGCGTGATCTCAGCTCACTGAAACCTCCAACTCCTGGGTTCAAGCAATTCTCCCACCTCAGCTTCCTGAATAGTTGGGACTACAGGCATGCGCCACTACACCCAGCTCATTTTTGTACTTTTAGTAGAGACAGGGTTTCACCATGTTGGCCAGGACGGTCTCAATCTCTTGGTCTCATGATCTGCCCACCTCGGCCTCCCAAAGTCATTAGTTACTTTTTAAAAACCTATAGAAGAATAGGTGAAAGATTTAGAAGACAATTCACCCTCGCGAAAGATATAAATATAGTTCATAAATATATAATAATAAACCTCACTTGTAAGAGAAATGCAAATAAAAACTGCACTAAGATTCCACTTCTCACCCATCAGAATGACAAAATTTTAAAAGCTTGATAACATACTCTGTTGATGAGAATGTGGGGAACAGACTGTCTCACGAATCGTTGGCAGGAATACAAACAATCCCTATGGAGGAACACGGTAATACTTTCAGTCCAATAATCCCAATTCTAGGAATTTACCCTGAAGATTCACCTTCCAACAATACAAATATATGAATGACAAAGCTAGTGTACATTGCTGCAGTATTTATAATTCAAACTATTGGAAACCAACAAAATGTCTAAACATCAAGAATGACTGAATAAACTCTGGTACACACATACATAAAATAGGGTACCATATAGCTGTTTTTTTTTTTTAAGAGGAAAATATCTCCAGAATATTTGAAGTATAAAAAGCAAAGAATAAATGAAGATATACACTATGCTACCTTTCGTGTAAGAAAATGGAAATCACAAAACTTCCATGGTCTGCTCATCTTATAAAAACATAGGAAGGATAAACCAGAAAACAATGAAATTGGTACCTTATAGGGGTAAGGGGCAGTTAGGATGAAAGGACTAAGATAACAGGTTACATCTGAGTAAACCCTTATGTAATTGTGACTTTGTGAAGTATATTAATTAATATTCCATATATCAAAAAATGCAATTATATCAACAAAGATAGTGGGAAAAAACTAAAACTGAAAGCATATGGAAAAAAATGAACCCAAATGTATTTCAAATGAATAAAATAATCACATTGAAAGAGAAGAAAAAAGAACTAATCCAAGTAACTTCTAGATACAGTATTGAGTACACACCCTTGTCTGGGAGCAGGGGAGAGGAGGAGGAAGGACTGAAAACAAATCCCAAGCCATTTTTAGTAGGTTGGTTTGGGGGTGGAGACAATGGTAAAAATGGAACATCTCTGAAATTATTTTAAATGATTGTAGGATTAAGCAAATGAGAAAATGTATTGATGACAGAAGTCAGGATTCTAACTGTGGAAGTAAGGAGATATAATACAGAGAAGAAAGCAAAGAAGAGCCTTGGAAGAACGGCCTGGAATTGGAGTATCAAGTGTGAACACATAACATCATGTGTGCATGCTTATACTTCCTAGTTCTGCCACTGAAAGGGCTCAGAAGCAACGAGACCCTGGTAGCAATAAACATGCCTAACACCCAGAGCCTACTAAAAACCAGAGCTCCTTTGACAGATGACTAATTTCAAGGGTAGGGCAGGGACAGTATTGGACAAACCTGGAATACTTTGTTGGGACAGAAAATAAAGGAGGTATTCAAAAAAAATGATGAGGGCATGTCAAAGGGGCACAACTAGCAGCCCCAATGGGGCTCCCGACGGCCATATCTGGAACAACTTTAGCATCAACATTAGAAGGAAATAATGAATTGTAAATCATTGAGGGGAAAATAAGTATCAAAGGGTTCATAGTGATTATATAGACATCAATATATGTGCAAAAGGGAGGGTTCTTCCTTATAGAAGCACACCAAATGTCAAATGATGTATAAGGAAGGAGTGCTAGTGTTGAACAATCAACAATTTGCAAATAACATAGTGAAGACTGCTTTGAGCAAGAACCAATGATAGATGCTAAATCTTGTAAGAGAATGTCCTTATATTTAGTTTTAAAAAAATGACTTTTTTAGGGCTAGAAGAACTTGATGTATGCAACTTAAAATCAAATGTAAGTTGAGTTTTCTGAAAAAACAACTACGTTGTTTTCAGAAAAAAAAAGCAATGTAGAGAGAGAACCAATGACAAAGCTAAGGCAAAGTTTTAATAACGGATGAGGCTGAGTGAAAGGTATATGAAAATTCTAAGTATTCCTGTAAACTAACCATAAGCTTGAAATTATTTTCAAACAAACAGTTAAAAAGAAAAAAGAAAAGAAAAGGCAAATCTTACATTTCTCAGTGCTTCATAAACAGCTCTAAATGCCGGTTGCTTATCATCATGGTAAACACCTCTGTTCCCATGAAGAATAAAGATTCCATCTTCTTCTGCTTCTTGGCAATTGCTTCCATATATACAATGATCTGGTCGATAATTCCATTGACACGGAAAAACAAAAAGGCTTTCTACATAAAGAAAAGACCAAACAATGAAGCAAATACCCCTAATTCAACAGATGTAACATTTTGCAAAACTTTTAGTTAAAAAAATGCAGCTTTTATAGGTAAAAATTACAATAATAAAAAACATGTTTGGCATTTAGATCTCTTCCAATTAAACCAATATTCAAGAAAAGTTTTACTCTGTCTTAAAAATAAATAGCTATAATCATTAATGTAAGACAGAATCAGATAAATGCATGTTCTCCTTTTTCACTAAGTATTATCTGGAATTCTTTAATGCAAACAAAAGGAATTTAAATAATTACCTGGATTATGAGAAAACATGATATTCAATAGATCTTGATCACCCCATGTGATGTTTAGTTTGTATTTTTTAAGCAATGGCATAAGTATATCTCCCCATTGTAGTCGTACAGTTGTCATATCATTCTGTTGATTAAAACATTCAAAAGATCTTCAGATTTTCAGGCTTAAAATGGCAGTATGATGACAGTTCTACGTTCTTCCCACAACAACCATAACAGAGCCACAAAGCGAAATGCAAACTCCCCATGACATCAAGTGACATTTCTAACCGTAAATGTGAGAAAGGCTGTCCAGGAAAAGAGAAGATAACAAAAGAAAGTGTGTGAGAGAGAGAGAGAGAGAGAGAGAGAGAATGTGTGTGTGTGTGTTTATGTAGACAGATATAAAGATGTGTGTGTGTGTGTGTGTGTGTGTGTGTGTGTGTGTTGCCGATTTCTTTCAAGTTTGTTCCTATGTATGCTATCTCTTTTGCTACTATTTTAACAGGGGAGGAGGGTTTTCCATTTTATCTTCTAAAAGGTTGCTATTTGTATATGTGACATTTCTAATCCTAAATGTGAGAAAGGCTGTCCAGGAAAAGAGAAGATAACAAAAGAAAGTAAGAGAGAGAGAGAGAGAGAGAGAGAGAGAGAGAGAGAGAGAGTGTGTGTGTGTGTGTGTGTGTGTTGACAGATATAAAGATGTGTGTGTTTGTGTGTGTGTATACATATATATATTTATGTTGCCGATTTCTTTCAGGTTTGTTCCTATGTATGCTATCTCTTTCGTTACTATTTTAACAGGGGAGGAGGGTTTTCCATTTTATCTTCTAAAAGGTTGCTATTTGTATATTAGAAAACGCAAGCAAAGAATTCTGTAAAGAGGCACCATGAATGATACACAAAGTCAAAGAAGATTTCCTAGGGAAAATAACTGGGTCCAGTATAGCAGGTGTATGCAGTCCCATAAACTCTCACCATCCCAGAGGGAGGCAAGTTAGGACTGGCATCTTTGGCAGTATTAAAGACTGCACTCCACAAAAGAGATCCTAGTCTCCTGATGCCTCTCATACTGTCAAAGAGCTGACAGATTCACCCAACCCATTTAACGACTGTAAGCTTTGATATCAGAATTACAACCCTCCTAGAAAAGGTATTTTCCTATTCTTGGGTATCAACTGATTAACATATCAACACTGTTTTCAGGACAAGACCATACTAGGCTACTTGAGAAAGAACCCCTGGAGTTAGCCACAGTAAATGGTTTGACTCTCCTTTTAAAAGTAGTGATTTCTGTATTTTAATTTCAACCCAGCCAAATTAACCATATATCCTTAATGTTTACAGTAGTTTTAATAGGTTGAGGTCTTCCAGGGATGTAAATATGTCATGCAAATAATGATAATTTTACATCCTATCTAATTTTTATACCTATTTCTTTCACTTGTCTAATATTGGAGCTTGTAATTCCTCCATGCTGAGAACCACTATTTAAATATTACTTGATAGTTATGGTCCCAGGCGCAGTGGCTCATGTCTGTAATTCCGGCACTTTGGGAGGCCAAGGCAGGCAAATCAACTGAGTTCAGGGGTTCGAGACCAGCCTGGGCAACATGGTGAAACTCTGAATTGAATACTGGACCTTTTAGATCCCTATGACTCTTTTAAACTATCTAGAGTATAAACCAGCATTCTTAATAGTGCAGTTCACATAGTGTAATAATATGTACATTTTGTATATGTCCCCAATAAGATTAAGAAATTAAGTTCAGAAATTAAGAGTAAGATTTAGAAACCTTTACAGCAAATTGATAGTTTTATGTTTACTTAATATGTTTTTCCAGTAATCTATCTTTTACAGAAGTATTGGCTCATAACATACTGAATTTTTTTTTTAAATTAATCCTTTGCCATAGTTTGAGAAACAATGTTTTAAGCAATTTTATAATTTATAGTAAATTCAATGACAATATAAACAATCTGTCCTTTAAATAAAAAGATCAGAATTCATGAAAAAAAAAAATCCACGTACTTAAGTTGATCTACAACAGCATTAACCTTGTGTGAAATTTCTTGGATCACAGTATACGTAGTAATTATAATCAGAATTTTTTTTTAATGCGGAAAATGACTAAAACAAGTTTTACTTAAGGAAATAATTTGAAAAGATAACTCTTTGAAGTAAGTCATTGAGTATGTTTAGGAAATATTAGATTCTGAAAAGAAAAATATCAATTACACAAGGACAAAAACCAGCAACACATTAAATAGACAGAACTGGTGGAGCCCTTGTACAATCCCATGTTAAAGTCTTCATGTGAGTCTATCTATTTAAATACATAGAGAAATATAAATATAAATTTTAAAAATCAATATAAATCAAATATATATATATTTAAATATATTATCTCACAAGAAATATATATATTCAAAGAAAATCAATGAAAGTCAAAATTAAGAGTCCAGTGCAGTCTTAGGAAAAAAAATCAAAAGGGAAAAAAACCTTAACTTTAAAAAAAAAGTCCTATTAGAAAACTATTTGGAAAAGAAGCAACAACACTACTATTATTTGCTAATGATATAACCTAGACTATCCAAGACAATCAATGAAAAGCTATGAGAAATTAGTTTAATAAAAAGGCATTACATATAAAAGGAGTTCAAGTCAATAAGTAAGAGAAAACCAAGACGTGGGCAAAGGATATGGGCAAGCAGCCATTCACAAAAGGAGAAACAGAAGTGGCTACAAATTACAAGAAAAGATTTTTAACCACGATGGTAGTATAGTCAAGAAAAAACAAATTTTAAAATATATTTTCAGTTATACAACTACACATCCATACAAGTTACACACACACAAAAATAAAATCATCCATTCTCCACATCATACACACATAAAAAATGTGATTATGTGTAATGACACAGAAGTCAGTCAACTATATATTTACTAAATGAAAAAAGGTGAAAATATATGAAAGAATCCTATATCTAAGTGCTAATGCACATGTATATTTGTTTCAAAATACTTTTTCCTTTTCTTTTCCTTTTTTTTTGAGACAGAGTCTCACTCTGTCGCCCAGGTTGGAGTGCAGTGGCACAATCTTGGCCCACTGCAACCTCCACCTCCTGGGTTCAAGTGATTCTCATGCCTCAGACTCCTGCATAACTACAATTACAGGCATGTGCCACCACACCCAGCTAATTTTTGTATTTTTAGTAGATATGGGGATTCACCATATTAGCCAGGCTGGTCTCCCAAAGTGCTGAAATTACAGGCACTAGCCACGGCACCCAGCCTCAAAATATACTTTTTAAAAGGTCCAAAGGACACATAGCAAAATTTATAGTGTCACTATGGGTGGACACATGAAACTGTAGAGAGGTATGTCAAGGGGAGACCTGTCTTTTTACTCTACATACATTGAATTTTTTGAATCTTTATAAGCATAATTTAGTTTCATAACATTTAAAACAGAAAATCATAGTTCTAATTTTACAAATTTTAGCAAATCTATGACCAAATACATGTGTGTTAAAATTAAGATCAGTTAGTTTCATTTTTTAAATTAAGCACGCTTTGAAAATGAGCAGACTGTCATTATCAGCCTGTCCCATACATATATATAAAATTTAAGATTATTCAAATTATGCTCCAACAATGCGAGAAACTGGGAACTTATCATCTCCTAAAGATTAGTTACTTCACTTTAAAAAGTTCAACCCCTTTGGCAAGATGTTTGTCATTATTCTGTTCTCATAAGTCATGTACTAACACAAGAAAAGTCCTCTATCACATACATGTTACAAATATGTAAAAACATTGTATCTACTTCATACAAAATATTTTTCAATAATTCACTAATGGCCTAGTTTTTAAAACCTTCATCTGACTGTCCTTTGCTAATAATTATCTATCAGGTTGCTACTTTATGTAAGGCACCAGGCTAAAATAAATATAAAGCTGTACAAAGACATATCCTGCCCTCAGTAGGTACAGCAAGCAAACAAAAAAAGACTTTACAAATACATAGGACAAAAAGGGCAGAGAGTAAACAAAAAAGGAAAAGATCCCATGGTGCCTAATTTATACTCTTCGGTTTTTCTCTAATAAATAGGAAAAAGTTAAGAAATACCGTAATACTTTTTTTAGGAATTATTCCAACCCCCGTAACTATATCTCTAGATGACTTGGAACATGTCACAGAAAAAAAAGAAAAAGGGAAAGGGAGAAACTATGGAAGTATTTATGAATGACAGTTAAATAATAGGGAAGTAAAAGACAGTAGATCTGGCCCAAGTGCAGTGACTCACAACTATAAACCCAGCACTGTGGGGGGATGAAGTGGGAGGATCACTTGAGGCCAGGAGTTCAAGACCAGCCTGGGCAACTCTTTTTTTCGCAGAGCCCATTCTCTACCAAAAAGTGAAAGAAGAATAAACTAATTTTTAAAATAATGGATTTGAAATATATAGCTGTATTTTTTTAAAGTTTTAATCAACTGGTGTTATCTCTACAGTTCTTTGCAACATTAAACTTCTACTAATTTCAAATGCAGTTATTGAGAAGTTACATTATTTCTTTGCAGATAATCTTACAGCACCATCTTCTGGTATAATATCACCGTGCATAATCTAACAATCAGAAAATAACAATCATGTTACCATACTGGTTTTGTCATATAGCAAAACTTTACAGTACATGAAATTTAAAAATTCAAGATATAATAACAAACTTGGCAATCAAAGCGAGATGTTCTCTGTTAAACAAGAGCAGAGGTTTCCTAACACTAGGCTCACTAATGCAACCAGCAGTGGAAGACAAACTGAATTTAAATTAGAATTTTAAAAAGGTTTAGAATAGGGAAGGCTAAAAAGAAAACTAGGTTTACCAGATCAACAGAATAGAAGAGTGACAGGTAATAGCTGTCAGACTTCTAAGACTGAAGTGTTGGCACATGGTAATGGCTACAGCAGTATTGCTGCTTATACCAAAGGTTAGAGGAAACAGCTCAAAATGAGGCAAAGACTTAAATCAGACATATAGAAAGAAGAAATAATTCCATTCAACCAGATACCATATGAAAAATACATGACAAAAATATGTATCTACAAATGTATACACATACTCATATTATAAAAGACACGATATCCCTTAATGTTTAATTTAGTCCTAATGAGACATAAAGGAATAAACAGTAAGTCTATGCCTCCAGAGGGAAAGACTACAGTGAGTGAGGCTCAGAAGTCACTGTTTTTAGCTAACATTTTACTGCTTACTACATGCCACAATCTAGTAAGAATTTTCAACAGATCTCTTTGAAATTAACTTAGTTAAGTCTATCTTTCTTGTTCAGCTGAGAGAACTTATACTTGAAAGTTAACGAAGTGACTAGTAAAGTAGTGCACAGGAGGCAAAGCTACAAAGAAAGCCAGTTTGACTCCAGAGCCAGAAAACTACAGTGACTTGCAATTTAGATATACAATTAATTTACATGAAACTGGTAAACGGTACTACATACTGATGTAATCTAAATGCACACTCAGAGAATTTAAATAGTCTGACTTTTCTACTGACCTCACAATCTGAAAGACTGAAAACATGCAGGAATTTTTTAAGTTAACTTCCAATAACACCATAATAGCCAACATTTACTATGTGTCAGCCACTGTTCTAACTCATTTCCTCCTCGCAAAAGTCCCATGACGTTGGTAGTACTATCATTTGCATTTTACAGGTGAGACCAAACATGTTGCAGAGTCTATGCTTTTAACTGCAACTCCATGTTGTCCTTAAGGTGTATCATAATTTAGATTCGATGCACTCCATGGCTATATAAGTACAAAATAACACCTGCTTCCTGGAACGGCAATCTAGAGAAATGACGTTCACTGCTTAGTACACTGTTATTTTACTTCATTGTAATACCATCTGGTTTGACCTATTGTAATTCTCTGAAACAGAATAATATGAACACACTTCCAGATAAATCTAGATATCTAGATTCTTCTAATCTTCTAGATTATTCTAGATTAGTAGAAAAATTCTTTATAGTTCAATCTACTTTTTAGTAAAACTAAATTGAAAAGCAAACCATTTAGAAGGCTTTTAGAGAAATGCTAACAACTACCTGTAATAGTGACTTACCTTGAAATATTTCCTTCTCATTCGAGTCATGTTCATCAACATAACTCCAGAATTTACTCCAGTTTTTCCATAGTATGGATGCCTAGCAAAGCGATTATACCATCCTATTCGAGGTTCCTCATGTTCTGGTGCCATTGCAGCAATTTGTGTAGAATTAAATTTCTTTAGGAAAGACCAAATATCATCAACTGGTCGTAAAAAAAGGATATCAGTGTCGACATATAATAGTGAGTCAACTTCTTTCAGGATTAACTACAAGGAGAAATATTTGAATAATTAACTATAATTCTATTTCAAAAAGAAACATAAAATCACCTCTAATGGTACACGATACACCTAAGAGATAAACTAGTTGATATTATTTTAAGGTAATCTTTCCTAAATCTGTCATTTTTAACAATAGCATATAAAGATACTATGCTAACCTTCATATTAATTTTCAGAGAAGATATAAAAACAAACCAAAACAAAATACTCAATTATAAAAATTGAGAGAATGCTACCAATTTCTTCAGAGATCAGGGAGGAAATGGTTTTCATAATGGACAATAACATTAACTTAGGTAAATTTATATCTTTAATACTAATTTCCTGAGATAAATACATAAATAAACCAATACAAATAAACATCTTCTGATCTTATTCCCCTTGCCTTATAACACTGACACCTTTACACCATTTCAGTTTCAACTAGTAAGAGGTAGAGCCAAACTGGAACTCAGGCAATCCAGATTCAATTCAAAGTCCATGCTCTTATTTCTATGCTTACTGTCTCCCAATGAATCAAAGAGAATGTACACCTACCAAGGGTAAAGGCTTGACTTAGACTGGCTATGTTGCACTTTCTAAGAGATGTTAACTCAACATGTGCCTTTCCTGGGGATATTTAAGGATAATTGTGTGTGTGTGTGAGTGTGTGTGTGTGTGTGTGTGTGCGCGCGTGCACGTGCGTGTGTGTGTGTCAGAGAGAGAGAGAGAGAGAGAGAGAAATCTCATTCTGTCACTCATGCTGGAGTGCAGTAGTGCGATCTTAACTCACTGCAACCTCCGCTTCCTGGGTTCAAGCTATTCTCCTGCCTCAGCCTCCTGAGTAAGTGGGATTACAGACATGCACCACCATACCTGGCCGATTTTTTGTATTTTTAATAGAGATGGGGTTTCATCATGTTGGCCAAGCTGGTCTTGAACACCTGACACCACGTGATCCATCTGCCTTGGCCTCCCCAAGTGCTAGGATTACAGGCACAAGCCACCGTGCCCAACCAAGGATAATTTTTTATTTCTGCCTTACACATTAACTTTAGATTCTGACTCCTACAGATTTAAATTTACTGCCTATCCTGGTCTATTAGAAAGATTCAATGAATAGGTGAATCTAAACCTTTTGAGTTAAGAATGCAATAGAAGCTTGATCCTAATTCTGCTGCTTTTCAAAGTTCTTACTTCCTGCTGCAATAAAGCCATCACCTTAATGGGCAGCTACTAGGCTGAAATCACCTCATTCCTCCCTTAGATGACTATCAGCTGATTTAATTTCAGGCTGGGGAAAAAAAATGACTGACTGTAGGGCCTGAGTAGGGAAGGTTCACTTGGTCAAAGGCCTCAATTAAAAGGGAATCTGTGACCAGGCATGGTGGCTCATGTCCGTCATCCCAGCACTGGTAGGCTGAGACGGGTGCACCACCGGAGGTCAGGAGTTCAAGACCAGCCTGGCCAATATGGCAAAACCCCGTCTCTACTAAAAATACAAAAATTAGCCAGGCATGGTGGCGCATGCCTGTAATCCCAGCTATTTGGGAGACTGAGGCAGAAGAATCTCTTTAGCCCAGGAGGCAGAAGTTGCAGTGAGCTGAGATAGCGCCAGTACACTCCAGGCTAGACAACAGAGCAAGACTCTATCTTAAAAAAAAAAAAAAAAAAAAAAAAAAAAAAAAAAAAAAAAAAAAAAAAAAAAAAAAAAAAAAAAAAAAAAAAGGTGTGGTCAGGGGAGGCGGAATCTGTGTGTCTGTCTCCCTTTTTTGAGGGGTAGTGGAGTGAGAATTGTTTTTAATAGCAACATTCTACATCTGTGTCATATCTATTTACAGATTACTATATTCTTAGCAGACTAGGAAGAAGCTGCATAAAGCTCCAAGTTCAATGCTGGGAGCCACTGCCAACTGGAAATCAGACATATAGTTAAATAATAATCACTTATGTATAGTTCTGATTCCTTTTAGGTAAAGAAGGCACTGGTACAGTTTACATTAGTTATTTTCATGCATTTATTTCAAAGTAAGAGAAACTCAGCAAAAAAGTTTATCACTTTAAAAAAATAAAGCACCAATTTACTTAAATCTGGTTAAAAAGATGTAGAAGTAACAGCAAAGTATGAGGTCAATTTGACAGGTTTCAAGTATTTCTTGTACTTAAAATTGCATTTAGGTATTTAACTAGTTTTACATAATTAAATGATCTGGCATATTTCATAAAACACCATCAACAATTAAACTTGTTAATAAAGTGTTAACAAAGTGCTATGGTGTCAAGTGTTTATTAAGTGCCATAACAAAATGGCAGAGAAACGGCCATAATCTCACACCTTTCATTCATCTCTTACTGTTTTTTCAATATATTGGTGTGATTATTTAATGTCTGTCTCCCCCATCAGACAAGAAGCTCTATGAAAACAGGAAACATGTCTGCTCTATTGATTCCTATATACCGAGCACTTGAGTATAGCTGACTGACAAGAAATAGGCACTCACATATTAATTAATTGACTGTGACACTGCAATCATTCAGTATAAAACTTATTTCAAAAACTTACAAAACCTACATGAAATATCTAAAACTTCTTAATTTTTTTTTAACCAATCTTAAACCCTTACTTGTGTGCTTTTTACAATAGAAGACAAGAGAAGAGAAAGATCCTAGGGTCCAACTTTTTAAGGCAGAGCACAAAGATAGTAGTTAGGCAGACCTGCTTATCAGAATTATAACTTAATCTTATAGATATCCTGGATTCCATAAACTGTATTCTTAATAAGCTAGGAATTGCCTTAATCCACTTAGCAATAAGAAGTAACTGAAGGTTCTTCCCCATAATTTATATACTTTCCAGAAACTTCTGTGCTTCTTAAATTCAGTATTTCTACCATAAGTATTCTTTATGTGTTTAAGTTGCAAAACCTTAAGTATCTAAATATCATAATGGTCTACACAACTACTGTGCATTTTAAAACTGGGTAAAATCAAATCAAAATGAAAGAGGTAACCTTATTTCACAACATTTGTATATAAAAAAGAAAAAAAAATTAAGGTTTGTCACCACAGAACACTACCAAAGAACAACTCCACTGAATAAATAGTTCCCATTTTCCCTTTGAGTTCACATGTATTAAATTTGTTTCTGTTTAAGTATCAGTTACAAAAGAAAAATTGGCTTGGTATAAGACACAAATTGCTATTTAATGATGCATTCTCCCTCATTTCTCAAACTCTAAATGCAGTCTACAAGTTGAACATGATAACGCCACTGCATTTCTGCTGGCAACAGACTCGGCTCCATTAAGACCTGGCAACCTCTATTCCCTCTTACATATAAAAGAGTTCACAGCAGCTGAATACATTAAACTGGTATCTCAACAGATGTTACTAAAAATTTTTCATTCTTAACAGGGTTTTTATTTTACTTGTTCCATATGAATATTTTTTCACGTTCAAAGGGGAAATAGTACAACTATTGATTTCTATTTATAAATTTTTAAACCGGATTTATATGTAACTCTTCAGAGACTCATCTGTGTTCTTTTTTTTGTTTGTTTTTCTCGGCCACCTTCATTGGCAGTTAAGTTTCAATTTAAAAAAAAAAGAAAAAAGGACACTGGGGGGAAAAAACTTACCGGCAAGAACAATCTCTGCGAAGCACATGGTTTGAAGAGTTTTTTCCATTCTGCTGCATTCTCACTTGGAAAAGTTATGGGGTATAACGTATAATTAAATGTTTGTAGAAATGACCAGCTGTCAAGCTAAAACAATTAAAAAAAAAAAAAACAGATTAGTTTCACTCTAAATTTTCTCTCTAAAACAACAGACTATAAAACAGAAGAGCTAAAAATTAAGATAGTATACATTTTATGCTGTAAAGTTAAGAGAAAGATTCTTCCACCACTGTATTTGTTTCCATTTAAAATCTAAAAATCAAAATAAGATGCCAGAAAGACTTCACCATTAAGATCTGAGGCATAATGAAAGTTATCAAGGTCTGACTCCCATCAGAAAGGTGAAAGACCCTTGCAAGTGTGTCTTCCTCAACTTTATCTAATGTGTAAATTCTCTTAACCCATTAACAAGTTAAAATCAGAAAAATTAAGCACTAATTTTATTACCACTATATATATGGTATGACAGATGCTTACATTCAAAGTCAGACCAAATATGAAACTGGTTAACAAATATTTGTCCATCAATGCATAATTTTAGTATGACTGAATATTTCTGATAATAAAATATTCTGATACATAGCCAATGCCAATTTTTTTAAAATTACTGCAAAAAGTAAATTATATCTGAAAATCTACAATGAACATGTTTACACTTCAGTACCCTAAATGCAGTTCAAGATACTGAACTATTTCAAATTCAGTTTAAGTATTATCTCTCATTCTTATTTCAACGGAATTACTGATTCACATTTCCTAAAAAGCATTAAGAAACAATCTATGGGGGAAAAACAAAGTAGTTTGCGTACAGGCTGAATACAATCACTTTTGAATTATGATTGTGTTTAAGTCAATTTTAAAATATTAACATCTTCCAACATAGTTTAAGGGAATACCTTTAATTCCAACATTCTGCTTTGTTGTCTCTGTTCATTATTTCATTTTATTTATTTTACTTTTTATTTATTTATTTATTTAACTTATTTATTTATTTTGAGACAGGGTCTCAACTCTGTTACCCAGGCTAGGCTAAAGTACAGTAACATGATTATGGCTCACTGTAGTCTTGGCCTCCCAGGCTCCAGTGATCCTCCCACCTCAGTCTCCCAAGTAGCTGGGACTACAGGTGCATGCCACCACACCCAGCTAGTGACTATAATTATTTTAAAATACTAGCACTGTTATTTCCCTGCCTCACTTATTAACCACTTAAAGAGCCTTTCAATACCAACTTCAAAATAAAATATTAGTCACTTTTCATTTAACATAATAGTCTTGTTTTATGTACTAAAAGCATGTTCCATAAAATATTTGATATTCTTTCATCAAAGGCAAAACCAAACATTCTCAGTGATTATTATAGCAAAGAAAAACTAAGTTTAAAAATACAGCGTATGTTACACAAGCAATAATTCAGCCAGGTGTAAACACAACACAGAGGCTGCAACTAAGACAATGCAATAAATGTTTTACTTTTTTAACTATATTTTCAAAGATTTCCATAACTGGCAGTAGGCTGTTATTCTCTTAACCACTAAGACAAGATTAATTCCTCAATATTTTAGAAAACAATCCAGATAAAGAGATCAAGATCACAAAATTATCTAACAAAAATATAGATACTAGAAATATATATATATATATATATTTTTGAGATGGGATTTCACCATGTTGGCTAGGCTGGTCTCAAACTCCTGAACTCAGGTAATCCACCTGTCTCAGTCTCCCAAGTTCTGGGATTACAGGCATGAGCCACCGCACCCAGCCGATACTAGAAATATTTTTAAACAGTAAGTAAAAAGGTATACTTCCATATACCACTTAAGAGGTAAAGAAAACTTTTATAGCTTTTCCGCCAAACTAAAAGGTATAAATGTTTTTGGCAGAAAACTAAAAGATCTGAGCTCCTAATTAGTATTTTTGCATTCACTATGCACAATGAACTAAATTAACCTGAAAAAACATCAAATATATTTTTTACATAGTTAGGCCAAGCATAAAAATACAAATGAGTTTGAAAGCTTAATTTAATGGAGACAGATGCAGACAGATGATAGAGAGGGAGAGAGAAAATATAAATGAATGATCATCAGCATCACCTTTATCACCATTTCAGAATGCAAGGTAGTGAGATTTCAGGTGGCTTTTCTTTTTCTTACATGTTCTTCTGCCTGTATCTGTTCTCATCTTATTACTATACAATATTATTACTATATATTACTATATAATAAGTATTATTATTATACAATAAGAGGAGAACAGATACAGGCAGAAGAACATGTAAGAAAAAGAAAATTCACATGAATTTTATTGTTGTTGAGGAAGTTACAAGGCTGACCTGATTAAAGAGTGTATATTCCACTCTCACTAACAGCTAGGTATGGTTATATGACTAAATTCAGACCAATGGGATGTTGGCAGAAATGTCACAATGACTTCTAAAAAGTACCCTTAAGAGAAGGAGGAGACTGCCCTTCTTCACTCCCTCTCCTCATGTTGAACAGAATATAGGTGCAATGGCTGGAGTCTGAGTAGCTACTGTGGACCATGAAGCAGAAGCCTCATCCTGAAAAGGGCTCAGCCACAGTCAGACGAAGCCTGAAAACCTGAAGATAAAGAATTGCCATATAATCCAAACTACCTACTTTTATGTGAGAGAGAAATAAACTTCAATCTTGTTTAAGCCACAGTTACTTGGGGTTTTCTGCCATTGCTGCCAAACTGATCTGAACTAATACAAAACCAAAACAAGTAATTTTCTTATCAGATCCAGAAGTCATTTCCCGCCATATTATTAATCAAGAATTCCTCCTCTCAAAACCAGATTAAAACTTTTATGTAGGCTCTGATTAAGGCACTCCAAAGGAAAGGATATGGACAAAAATAAATCATAGGACTTCTTAGTCAAACATCCTGGAACTATAGTCACTAAAACCAAACCTCCATGCTTGACAAAGAACTTACTTTTAAGTAGCCCACTGCTATTCAAAAATGAACCTTCCTCTTTCACCTTAGATCTAGACTCAAATAGAAGTGGTTCAAGAAGCACTTTCCACTTTAGAAGGGCAATGTTACAGAATATTTTTGTGCAATGAAGGAATACAACAACTGATATGATTGGGCTCTGTATTGCCACTCAATTCTCATCTCAAACTGAAATTCCCACATGTGGAGGGAGGGACCTGGTGGGAGATGACTTGATCATGGGGGCAGTTTCCCCCATGCTGTTCTCGTGATAACCATCAGTTCCTACAAGATCTGACGGTTTAAAAGTGTGGTACTTCCTTTCCCTCTCTCTCTCTCTCTCTCTCTTTCTCTTTTCTGCTGCCATGTAAGACATGCCTTACTTCCCCCTTTGCCTTTCCCCATGATTGTAAGTTTCCTGAGGCCTCTCCAGTGATGCTGAACTGAGTCAATTAAACCTCTTTTCTTTATAAATTACCAAGTCTCAGGTAGTTCTTCATAGTGTGATAACAGACTAATACAACAACATTCTATTAGAGCATATTATTAAATATTCAATTCTACAACCTTGACCTCATCTCAAATACTTACTCTGCCTTTAAAGCTCTGATGTAGCTGATCTTCAGCAAAAATATGGAATTGAAGAGGTTTGATGCTGAAAATGATAGCTGACTTCAACATGGTCATAGTTTCTTCCAGTCTTTCACCACAGGCAACTACAGCTAGATGCATTTTCTCAACAGGCTGTATTTTCAGATTATACCTAACAGGAAAGAAAACCATATTTTCCAACAGTTTTAGTATATGTTTACAACATGATACTTTCACCATGTTAAAAAGTGAAGTTCAAGGGCAGATGTGGTGACTCATGCCTGCAGTCCCAGCTACTCACGAAGCTAGGGCAGGAGGATCACTTGAAACCAAGAGTTCAAGGCTGCAGTGAGCTATGACTGCATCATTACACTCCAGCCTGGGCAACAGAGCCAGACCCTGTGAAAGACAAAGGAAAGAAAGAACGGAAAGAGAAGGAAGGGAGAAGGAAGGGAAAGAGAAGGGAGAGAAAAGAGAAAGGGAAAGAAAGGGAGGGAAGGAGGAAAACTGAAGTTCAAAATTTTTATTTATAAAACAAACTAGGCCAAGTGTGGTGGCTCACGTCTGTAATCCCAGCACTTCAAGAGGCCAGGGAATAAGGGTTACTTCAGCCCAGGAGTTCAAGACCAGGCTAGCTAGGCAATATACTGAGATCCCATTCCTACAAAAAATATAAAAATTAGCCAGGAGGGTGGCATGGACCTGTAGTCCCAGCTACACAGGAGGCTGACATGGGAGGATATTTTGAGCCTAGAAGATAGAAGCTGCAGTGAACTGTAATTGTACCACTTTACTCTAGACAGAGCAAGACGTTGTTTCAAAAAAAATAATTTATTTATTAAAAAATAAGGGCAAACAGGCCGGGCGCGGTGGCTCATGCCTGTAATCCCAGCACTTTGGGAGGCCGAGGCGGGTGGATCACGAGGTCAAGAGATCGAGACCATCCTGGTCAACATGGTAAAACCCGTCTCTACTAAAAATACAAAACATTAGCTTGGCATGGTGGTGCGTGCCTGTAATCCCAGCTACTCAGGAGGCTGAGGCAGGAGAATTGCCTGAACCCAGGAGG